TAGATAATTGTAAGTAACAAAAATATAGTGTCGTACTCTACAACATCTCACTATTGATTTCTTTTGAAGCATTCAATAAAATGTTAAACCCATTTATTTTTTTTAAATTTAGGGTTCTAATTTTTACTACCTACTTCATTGCTACTGCTTGTTGTCAAAGTGCGGACCTCTGCCCTGGTAAGTACTATTTACTCTTCTCAGTTCCTCCTCGGCTCCCTTTTCTCTATTTTTTTTTTTATTTGTCTTTACATTGTATAACAATTTATTCAAAGATCTTATTTTTAATCTTTGATTTTACGACTGTTCCACGTATTAATAATTGTATTATATTAATTAAAGTTATTGTTTGCTTCTCGAAACTTCAACTTTCAAGCAAGAGTGGCTCAAGGGTCAAGCAAGTAAAACCTTCCCTTTAGGTCCCAACAATATCAATGATGAATTTGATAATTTTAATTTTACTTAAAATAATATTGAGATTATAGAAAAAAATGTTCAAAAGTTATACTAAAATATAGCACTTATCTACCTTTTACCAAATAATATTTTAGAACTTTGAAATAAATAACTCAAATCTTCATATTAATAAATGAAGTATTTGAAAGTGTACCAAATGATGCATCATTTCTGTTTTCAAAACATAACAACTTGTCGAGTGCAATTTTTTTAATGATATGCTTATATGTTTGTGGTTATATATATATATATATATATTTGTAATTTAACGATTGTTATATTAGACTAATATGTTGTTCTGTTTTAAAATTTAGAACCCACAAACATTAAATTCTGGCTCTGCCTCTGTAGACACTGTTCAAATAAAAATGTTAAGCAAATTTCCTATGACGTAATAATGAACATTGTTTAATAATGAATTCTATGAGCATTATTGATTATCGTATTCTCTTTCTTCATCCTCAATCGAATCATTGTTCGCGACCCAGGATTCTATTTTATCATCAATTCAATCTCCGTTTTTTCTTTTTCTTAAAAATGAATAGATCTATGCCATAGGTATGAACTTACACGTTATATGTGAGATATTTTCTATTACAAAGCTACAAATCATCTTTGACCACATTATCCTATGCCTTTTTAGTTAGAGTAACATATGATAGTTATCTGTCAAGTGAATGAAAGTGAATAATTGAGAGCACTATCTTTGGCAAAACTCCAATACAGGCTCATTTTCTTGTAGATAGTGACACATTCCTTCTAAAGGATTTACTTTAGATTTCATATCTAAAATTTGAGATGGCTTAGAGGTGATTTTGAGTTGATCAAAAATGAATAATAGATGTATATTTCATGTATGGTTAAATTATTTTTTAGTTTTTTGAGTGTATCATAATGTGTGGTCAGTGTTTAGCTCATGTATAGATAAACTAATTATGTTATTGTGTATATTTGAAATTAGCCTAAAAAATATTTCAGAATAATAGTGTTGGGCCCGTGCTTAGCACGGACACTGTCTATCTAGTTTGTAATAGATACATGTTGGTTGTTGGTTTGTTAAAAATTATTTAATAAAATTTTACACATTAAGACAATCATAAACTGGTCAAGCAACATCAAATAAATATAATACACGATAGAAATGATAATACTTTTTTTATTGAGATTAATTTTTAATTTTTATTATTTGACAGTGGTAGCAACTTTTCTTTTCGGAGAATGAGTACTGTTGTATTCTTTAACAATATCAATGTTGACCACAATTTAAAACATTCTTACAAAGTAGTAAGATTCAAATCTATACTTTAAAAAGTTCCTAGAACAAAGCACTCTAGGGCATAAATATAATTTAATTTCGCACTTGATATTATTTATATTAAATAGATATAAACACTTGATGTAAATAAATATTTACCGCAATAGATATTTTTTTTATGTTAGAAAAATATCTTCATGAATTTTGGTCCACTTGTCATATATAACAACTCTATTAGCTAACACACGTACGCACTAATTAAGAGTTCTCTACCACATATTGAAGAAAATACACTTAGATGCATGTATTTTTGCTACAAGATACACAAAAATAGGGAGAAAGGCGAGTGAGATTCGTATGCATCCCAACTACATAAGATACACACTAGATACATATTGTACTTGTATATATGTATCTGTTATGATTCATATGTATCTTGGATACGAGAAAGATGGGAGAGAGACGAGCGAAATTTGTTATGTATCTCATATACATGAGAATCTATTTTGATACAATGTATCTAGAACAAATTACACAATTTTGACTCCATGTATCTGAGATACATATATTTGAACGTATCTGAAGACACGAAAATCTGATAAAAAGTGTAATATTGCAAACTAGAATAAATTTAAGTAATTAGCTCTTAAAATAATTGGATTTATGTAAGTTCACGACAATTTGTATAGCAGAGTATATGCCTAGCCCGTTTGCACCTTTCTCTTTAAATAAATTTGCAGGCCAGTATATTTGGAGGCTTGATAGTGTTGTTGTGATAATCCAGTGCAATTTAGAGTTTCTCAAGTTGAATTATTTTCATTTGTTTGAAGTATTCTTGTCAAGCTCCTTGGTGCTATGTGCATTCACTTGAGCATGTCTCGTTTTCTTCTGTGATTTTACGCAAGATCGTCTCAACGAGTTTGGGGCCTAAAGCAAAACTTCATAGAGAAGCTCTTATAACATACTCAGTGTAATTCAGTAAATGAGGTCTAGAGAGATAGTATATATGCGGATATTATGAAGTAAGAACATGAACAATGTAAATTTTCAAATACAAAATATATATAATAAGGTAAAAACAATAAAACCTGACAGAAAATTTTGAAAAAATTATATAATGATATCAAAATAGTGTTGCGCTGAATTTGATAGGTTGATATCACGATATTAACATAGTGTTGATTAGTTTTAGTGCTTGAAATTTGAAGAAGACACTAAAAAATAAATTTGATTTTTTTTAGGAACATACAACCAAAAATATTGCAATGTAGAAGGTTTGATTGTTTGAAAGGCTTTAAAATATTCAATTTTGAGAGAATAAAATAGTGAAAGGAGAATAAGAAAATTAAAATATTTGAATAATAATATTGTTCGTGACAATCGTCATATATATGAGGCAACAATAAAGATAGCCACGTAGAAAGATGCTTCAATTAACTAAACCCTATTCAAATTTTCAATTATTGATCCCTATATTGAATGAGGTAAATGATTATTGTTATTTTTTTTCAAAAAATGCTTTTCAACTTCATCAATATATATATATATAACTTGGGGCGAAATTGGGGCCCTAAGCGGCTGCTTTAGTGGCCAGCTTATTGTTGAGACGGCCCTGATTTAACTCATCTGCTTACTATGGAATTTAAGCTGGAGTATTAGAACATATGACCTTCAGTTCCTTTTTTATATGGTTGTTATTGCTTTAAATCATTTCAAAGAATGATTCTTGTGTTTAGGAGATGCCATTTTCATTGAAAGGGAAGCTAAGTTACAGGTCTCGGGAGCCAAGAATTGAGTAATATACATCAAGTATACATAATATACACTGCTGTATACACAGTGATACAGAAACGAAAAATGGGTCAAAGTCCAAGATGATCAACAGTTGAAGGCCCAAAGTCAGTCCATGCGAACAGAGCCTGACTTGTGGTGGGAGCAAAGGAGATGTCCAAAACCCAGGCATGAATAGTTCCACAAGTATTTTTCATGAACCCTGTATCATCTCAAGTATTCATGTTTTGTGTTATTTTCATGTCCACGGGTTGGCAAATAATGGGATTCTCAAAGTTATGTAAATACGAAAAGAAAATCTTGTGTTGAGCATTTTAAATCTCATTTTCAACTTCCATATATCAAGAAATGAGTTGCTTCCAACAACCAAGATGAAATACACTTGTGCGAAATTGGTAACTAAATAACATACAAGAGTACTAGGCTGGTCCGATTCCACCTAGTGCCAACTACTAACAAGCTGGAGCCTCATCTTTTTGAGTGTTGAAAGAGCATCTTTCATGCTAATTCTTGCATCAGGTCTCACTATAGTGCAGTTCAAAGCTAATTCCACGATAGAAAACAAACAATGCATCTTTGCATCGATTTGTTCATCTCCTGGCTGCACCAAATTAGAATCCACCACCTTGTGAATTTCACCCGGAAAGGAATCACTAATCCAACGTTGTATGCTCAAGTCCCCAGTAAATATTTCATCACTTGGTCTTGTTCGTGTGAACGTCTCCATCATCAGGATACCAAAACTATAAACATCACAACCCGTGGATACTACACCATCTTGTCCATACTCTGCAATCATGGTCGAAAATGATCATAAATCAACTTATACCTAGGGGAAGGAATTGTTTTGAGTATTTATATGATTTGAGAACTTTAAAATGTCTTAACATACCCGGAGCAATATATCCAATGGTTGCAATTGTCCTTGTCTGAACAAAAGCCTCCCCTGCACCTAACATTTTTGCAATGCCAAAATCACTTACATGAGCAACCATTTCTTGATCTAGCAAGACATTGCTTGGCTGCAAGTCACAATGCACCACAGGCGTTGAATAGCCATTGTGGAGATAGTCCATTGCAGATGCAACATCTATCATTATATCCAGTCTCTGCAATAAGTTCAAGAACAAGTTGTGAGAGTATAACCATTTGTCAAGTGTCCCGTTGGGCATGTATTCCAACACTAGGGCCTTGAAATCAAGATTGGAGCAGCTGGTGATGACTTTGGTCAGATTTCTGTGGCGAAGGTTGCGGAGTATCTCACATTCCGTGTCAAAACTTTTGAATGCACCCTCCAATTGCACATTGAATACCTTTGCTGCAAAAATGATACCATCCTTAAGTATCCCTTTATAAACCATGCTGAAACTCCCATTACCAAGCAAGTTGGCTTCGTTGAATCCTTCAGTTGCCTGTTCAAGTTCATAATATGAAATTCTTTCATGCCCTTTTACGAGAGACACATCCTTTTGACTTGCATTCTTCTTTGTGTTTCTCAATCTTAACACCACAATTCCAACGTCCCTTTATAAACCCTGCTGAAACTCCCATTACCAAGCAAGTTGGCTTCGTTGAATCCTTCAGTTGCCTGTTCAAGTTCATAATATGAAATTCTTTCATGCCCTTTTACGAGAGACACATCTTTTTGATTTGCACTCTTCTTTGTGTTTCTCAATCTTAACACCACAAATCCAACAGCCAACGTGAAGAGTGATCCAATCCCTAATAGAATATATAAAGCGGTAAGCACTTGTTTTCTTCTTGACTTCTTTGTAGATTTGGTTAGGCATGGTTTTACGTTAAATCGGGAGTCGCCACAAAGTGCATCATTGGACAAGAAAGATTGACTGGTGACATTTGCAAAGGTACTACCAGTGGGAATTTCTCCACTGAATTTATTGAATGAGAAATTCATGTGTTTGAGATACACAAGAGCTTCTATTGACTTTGGAATTTCACCACTAAGATTGTTATACGACAAATCCAAGTATTCCAAGGACAACATTTTGCCAAATGATTCAGGAATAGGCCCCTCTAATCTATTATGTGCTAGAGAAAGATTTATCAATTTATCTAGACTACCTAGAGTACTAGGAATCTTACCAGAAAAATAATTATTCGACAGATCAATGAGTGTTGCTGCCTTTAAGTTTCCGCTCTCTAGTGGAATTTCCCCACTCAATAAATTGGATGAAACATTGAATTCTATGAGATCTTGAAGGCTCCCCAAGCTTGAAGGTAATCTAGAATCCAGCTTGTTGTTAGATAGATAAAGTTCCCTCAAACTGGTCATGTTACCTAAGCATGATGGCACTGAACCAGAAAAATGATTTTTTGACAAGTGTAATGCACCTAAATTCTTTAAACTGCAGATAATATCTGGTATGGATCCTTCTATCTTGTTGTCAAATAAGTAAAGTTGTTGAAGGTTCAACATGCCTTGGACAGTATTTGGAATATGTCCAGTCAACTCATTGTAAGGCAGACTAATCTTTGTCAATCCAGTAAGATTACTAATTTCTTTTGGAATGACACCCTTCAGTTTACAAACTGGTGCGTGAAAAGCTTGCAAGCAGTTTGAGAAATTACCAACAGATGCAGGCAAAACACCATCCAATGGACTATGACCTAACGCGAGTACGCGTAGTTTCCTACAGTTGGTTAATGATGTCAGGAAACTCAATGATGGATCGCTGATAAAATTATTGATCTCCAAGTTCAGAAACTCAAGGTATTCTAAGTTACCAAGTGATTTAGGAATTAGACCTGTGAAACTGTTTTCTGAGAGGTCAAGTAGTTTGAGTTTCGATGAATTAGAGATTGAATCAGAGATAAAACCACTCAGACTATTTCCGCCACAATAAAGTTTTTCTAGGTTGGGTATTCCACGACCGAAATCTGAAGGTAGAGTACCTGAAAGCTTGTTTTGTCCAAAATCTATAATCTGCAGTGCTGATATGTTGAAAATACTTTCAGGGACAGAACCAGTAAACTCAATCCCAGCTAATCCCAATATCTGAAGTTTCTGAAGATTACCTAGCTCCATTGGTATCTCTCCTGTCAATTTTGGGGGAATATATGAGTACAATTATGGCGGAAAAGAGAAAAGGAAGAAAATTTTCTATTACCTTCCAAATGCAGATCTGTAATATATAATCTTGTAAGAGCTGTTAAGTTGGCTAGCTCTCTTGGTAAAGTTCCAATAAACTCATTTTCACCCAATACCAATATTTGAAGCTTTCTGCATTTCTTAAGGTTTTTGTGGAATAACTCCATCTAGGGAGTTGCCTCTGAGGTAAAGTCCTTCCAAGTCTGGAATATCATCACATACAGTTTTTGGAAGCTTTCCAGTAAGATTGTTGCTGCTAAGAACTATCACTTGCATTGTAGTAATGTTAAAAATTGATGGTGGTATATCGCCACTAAGTTGATTATATTGCAGGTCTAGGATAGTCAAGTAACGAAGATCACCGATTTCTCGAGGGATCTCTCCTTCAAGAAAATTTCTCTCCAAGAATAACACTTCCAGCTTTGTTATATTGGAAAGGGAGGATGGAATTTTCCCCGAAAATTGGTTGCTCGAGAGGTACACAAAGCGTAGGTTCAGTAACAAACTTAAAAATGATGGAATGGCTCCGGTGAAGTTATTGCTTGTGACATCAATCAATTTCAACCTCTGCAAATGAGCCAACTCTAGTGGCAAATCTACATGGAAAGCGTTGTAACTTATGTTGAGGGAGACAAGAAATGAGAGGTTTCCAAGGTGTGGAGGAATGGTACCATGAAGTTGCATGCTAGAAATGTCTAAAGCAGTGACTCGATTGTGGCGGGAGCTGCAAGTGATTCCAATCCAGCTGCAAACCGGGGTGGAAGAAGACCAGTTGCTTGCTAAGATATTGTTAGAATGAGAAGAAATGTGTGATTTAAGTGCAAGAAGAGCAGCTTCATCAGTGCTAATATTAGCAAGTGAAGTAGTGTCATGTAGTAGAATGAAAATTACAAGAAAAAAGACTAGAGTGAAACTTCTGCCCATAATTAAGCCAAGATGGTTACTCATTGAGTTAAAACAAGATGTATTTAATGATATCAAATTCAATTCAGTCAACATTTGGAGATGTACTATGTATGGTAGAACAATTTAGTTATATATTGTATTGTTATTCTTTTTTATAACACTAGTTCTGCGCAATGTGCGTTGCACGTGATTTCTAATTCCTAAAAATCAATTTAGGTACTTTGTTTTTTTCCCCTTCTACGAGACCAATTTCGATAAGTAAAACTTTTTAGAGTTATAAATATGAAATTCTATGAAAATATATGAAACGGTCTGAAATATATCCAAACTTTGACCGAAATTGATGTAACAATCCCAAACTTTTTCTCCAACAACCTTATCTGAGACTCCCTCCCTTCATTCAATATATTGACTACTTTCTTCATATGTCATGGAAAGTCTATCTTTGACACTTATCAGTCATCTAATCTGATATAGGTACACCAATAAAAGAATTTTCTTTTAATAAAAAAAAAAAGATTTTTCCCATTGAGAATAAATGTTGGCAAAGTCTAACTGATTTCATATTTATTTTTAAAAGTGAAAGAAAGAAAATGAAATGGTTGAAATGAATGAATAAGTGATAATTGTAGGAAGCTAAACGGAACAAATATTTATAATTTAATTCGTTTTATTGTCTATTCGTTAGTTGATTTCTGGACATTCAAGTTCAATAATAACTTATTAGCCATTAAATATAACTCAAGTCTCATACAAAAGCATATATATGTATGATATGATCTAGAAATCTATATATTTATATAAAGGAGGATCATAAGTCCGCCGATGTGGCATGCCTCATTGATCAGTAAATGAATTTATCTATTTTCTCAAATTTTTAGATTTTCTTTCCAATTTTTAATTTAAAAAAATTGTAAATTACAAAAATATATTAAATATGACAGGTTAATGTAAGTGTCGTTTTTATTACTGCTGTTTAAAAACGTCTTCTACAAATGTTGCCATATTAAAAGTTTAAAAACGTCTTCCACAAACGTTGCCATATTAAAAGTCATATTCAAATTAAATTTCTTACCATTTATTTACACATTTAATATTATTCCAAATCCATAAAAACTACCTCATTTGCTGAAAGCTTATTTTTACTTTACTTTTGCATTACTTTGATCTTCTCCCTCAAGTTTCATTTTTCTTATTAAACATATATATTTTTTCCTACTGCAATTTCCTTCTCAGTTCTCATGTCTTTTTTATTCTTCGTTTGTTCATACTTTTATGTTATTATTTGTATTGATTTCACAAACATACACTAACATATATTTTATTGCTTTTCAGGTTCAATAAGCACCAATTTATGATTCAAAATTGGGATCCAATAAAAACAAAAAAAAATGCGACTACACAAAAAGGTGAGAGGTATTCCAAATATAAATTGCATAAATCCGTATATTTAATTATATGAGAAAATATGTTTCAATTTATATCCAGAATTATTATAAAGTCAGATTAAAAAAAAAACTTTTTCTTGCATAGTATGTCAAAACGTTTTAATTTGTATTATCTTATATTTTTTGTTTAAAATTTCTCTTCTCTTTATTATTTCAAAAAAGTGGATGACACTTTAGAAAAGTGAAATGAAGATGTTTGAATGTAAACTGCATAACTTTATGTATTTAATTATATGAGATATATAGAATGTAAACTACGTAAATTTGTGAATGTAATCACATATAAGGTATTATATTTTATAGATGTAGGGTGTGTTTGGTATGAAGGAAAACATTTTCCGGAAAATGTTTTCCAATTTTCTCATGTTTGGTTGGGCTAAATGTTTTGGAAAATGTTTTCCAAATCAACTCATTTTCCTCAAATTTAAGGAAAATGACTTCCCTTCAAAACTTATGGAAAACATTTTCCATAACTCTCTTCCAACTTCAAACTTGCCCCCAACCACCCCCCTCCAAAAAAAATAATTTTAAATTTGTTTTCAAAAAATATTTCAATTTCAAAATTTCATTTTTTCACCC